AGGGGGCGGGCGCCGGGCGGTGGCGGGGGGCGGGGGCCGGAACCGGCCTCAGCTGGGGCCCGGCCAGCCCCCTCCCCCGCCCTCCTCGCGGTCTCCGGGGGAACGCGCAGCCAATCCCCGCCGCCCGCTGCGGGCTCGCCCCGGCCGGGGCCGCGGCGCGCCAGCCTCCGGCGGGGCTTTTCCCCTCTCTGCGGCGGCTTCTCTCCCTCGGTCTCCTTTCCCCTTTCCCTTCTGCACAAGTTTTTAAACTTTGATGAACTCGCCCAGTGAACTTTCTTAAAGGGTCCGCTCGCACCGTGCAGTCCCAGCCCGCGGGAGGTGGAGCTGCGTGCGAGGCACCCGCGCCCCCGTGTCCCTAGCCCGCCGCCACCCGGCGGCCCCACGAGAGCGGCGCTCGCGCCCGAAGCGGGTCTCCTGGGTCGTCAGCTTCAGGAAGGAGACCCCCCCTCCCCCAACCTTGGACCATGATTTGGGGTTATGGGGTGTTCGGCGCTCTCATTTCACTCCCATATCCAGCCTCCCAGTCCCAGTCCACATTCCTGCCTTCCCGGAACGCAGAGCTGTTGGGGGCCGGTTTCTAAAGACTATGGCCGTCGGGGGCCCGACACCTGGGCTTTGGCCCTGACTGGCTGCTGTTTTGCTGCGTGACCTTGAGGAAATCACTTCCCCTCTCTGGCGTCAGGCTTCCAGCCCAGAGGGTGGGACTTAGATCAAACTGCCTTCCCGCTCCCAGTCACTGAATAGAACTCTGGGCGGGGAGATGAGTCTTTTGAACCCAAATAGTTATTAGCCCAGGGAGGGGGTACCTCGAAGGGTCTAGAAGATTCCATTCGCCTTCCTGCCCCCAACCCCCAACCCCGCCTTTGGGTCCTCGCCTCCCTCAGTTTAAATACCGCCTCCCCACACACACCTTTTCTCCTCCTATTCAGAGCCCCAGGGCGGGGGTAGGGGGGTGGGGAAGAGCAACCTAAGGGCATGGCGGGGTGGTGGTGACACCCCTCTGAGGGTCTGGAACACGCGGTCTCCCAGCTGGTTTGCCTCCGACTTGAAAACCCACGCAGACTGGGCCAGACCCTGCCGTCACCTTGTAAAAACCCTTGTTCCCCTCCGGTCGCACTGCCCTCCGTGTCGGCCCCGCCCGGGAACTCCAACCCCCCCGACCTGGGGGATCCTGTCCAGAGGCTGTTTGGACCTGGGAAGACACTGCGGGGTGTTAGGGGACTCCTGTGTGACCCCGGCCGAGACCAGGCGTCTGTGGGTGTGATTCTGACTTTCCTTGCAAACCAGGTAATGGCACCTGTGTTTTGAGATTGGAAGTGATGTGCAGTGTGGGTGGAGTGAGAGAAGCTGTGTTTGCAGTCGTCAACTGGTTAGGACCCCGACCGTGAACAAGTGACTCAACCCTTCTGAGCCTCAGTGTGCCGACCTCTAAATAGGGCTGGCTCTACCATACGGGAGTGTGAAAGTATACAATGTTCCTGTGACGTGTCCCCCCCCCCCCCACAAATTATAATTTCCTTCCTAATCTGCCATTTCACAGATGGAAGCCTAAATGGAAACCTAAATGGAAGCCTAAAATATAGGAGCTATCTTTCCCAGTGATACATTCCTTTAATAAATTGTTGAACACGTACTGTGTGCCAGGGAACCATTGTGTGCTTGTGTCAAGACCAGGAGCGCCATGGTTTCCCACCACCCCCATTGCCGACACATGATTCAGGCCCTGTTATGAAGAGAACAGCCTCCTATAGGAATCAGGTACTCATATTAGTGGTAAGTGTGTCACTTTACCCAGAGTTTTCTAGGTACTCCCAACTTCTGGCACCTCCAGATGGAGCCAACCTGGTGAACCCATGGATCTCCTGACCATCTTTCAGAGGCCTCAGTCCATTTTGGCTGTATACCCACTCTTAACCCTTCTTCCCTAGAATAGATCTTCCCATCAGGCATGTCTCCAACTTTGGCCCAGCAATATTCTTCCTCTTCTTCCCCACCCCTTACCAATCCAAATCCTTCCTTCCCTCAAAATCTTTCTTCAGCCCCACTTTTTCCAGGTGGAGGAGCCTGGCCAGTTTTCTAAACTCAGGTATCCTTAGAAGTTAGTTTGAGGAGCGCCTGGGTGGTTCAGTTGCTTGAGCATCCGACTCTTGATTTCCACTCAGGTCATGATCCCAGGGTCATGGGATTGAGTCCCCCCACCCCACCCCCACCATGGAGCCTGCTTAAGATTCTTTCTCTCTCCCCTGCCTTTGCCCCTCTGCCCCCTCCTTGGTTCTTTGTGTGCACACACACACACACTTTCTCTCTCACTCTCAAATAAAAAAAGAAAGTTTGAATTTTTCAAAGAGGAAGGGATTCTCATCTTGTCCTCAGGTCTTCATTTTATAGATGAGGATGCTGAGGCCCAGAGAAATAACAAATGGGCACTAGGCTGGCTCAGTTAGTGGAGCATGTGACTCTTGATCTCAGGGTCCTGAGTTTGAGCCCCATGTTGGGTGTGGAGATTACTTAAAACTAAACAAAACAAAACGGGGTCCACAATTGACCCCCATCACTGTATTTTTCCAGGATATGAGAGACTGATGATTATTTAAATAATCTTTATTACTTTCATGATGATAAGAACAATACATGCTTATCGTTGGACAGTTAGAAGCTACATAATAGTTTAGAAAACAATTTGAAATCTGGAGAACAAGATTATTATTTCCCTCTAGTCTCTTTGTGCATATTTTAAAAATCAAAATTGCCAAATAGTCTGAATACTCCTTCCCCCCCCCCTTAAATTTGTCATGAATGTTTCTTTTTAAGTTCTTTAGTCATAATTTTTTTTTTCAAGTTAGGCACCACACCCAACGTGGGGCTCAAACTCACAACCCTGACATTAAGAGTCGCATGCTCTACCAACTAAGCCAGCCAGGCACCAGTCTTTAGTCATAATTTCTAATAATTGCTTAACCGCTATTAGGTATGCCAGAATTTCATCTCTTGTTATTAGACATTTGCATGATTTCTATTTTTTTCTTTTTTTGCCTTCTTAAGAAACACCTTATACAAGGATTCTTAATGCCTCAGAAAGTTTTCTGTGTGACCAGAGCTTAAGCACATTTTTTAAAAGATTTTATTTATTTATTTTTAACTTTTTTTTTTTTTTTTTTTTTTTTTTTGAGAAGCAGAGAGAGAGCACAAATGGGTTAGGAGCAGACAAAGAGGGAAACACAGAAACTGAAGCAGGCTCCAGGTTCTGAACTGTCAGCACAGAGCCCGATGTGGGGCTCGAATTCACAAACTGCAAGATCATGACCTGAGCTGAAATCCGCCGCTTAACCAACTGAGCCACCCAGCTCCCCTTAAAGATTTTATTTTTGGAGGAAGACGCGGTCGCAGCCGGAGCGGTGCTTTGGAGGCCCCCGCGCCTGCTCCGAACTCACCGCTGTTCGCTCTCGCCGAGGAACAAGTCGGTCAGGAAGCCGCGCCGCAGCCATGGCTTTTAAAGACACCGGGAAGACCCCCGTGGAACCGGAGGTGGCGATTCACCGAATTAGAATCACTCTAACCAGCCGCAACGTAAAATCTTTGGAGAAGGTGTGTGCCGACTTGATCAGAGGCGCCAAGGAAAAGAATCTCAAAGTGAAAGGACCGGTTCGGATGCCCACCAAGACTCTGAGAATCACTACAAGAAAAACTCCTTGTGGTGAAGGCTCTAAGACTTGGGATCGTTTTCAGATGAGGATCCACAAGCGGCTCATTGATTTGCACAGTCCGTCTGAGATTGTTAAACAGATTACTTCCATCAGTATTGAGCCAGGAGTTGAGGTGGAAGTCACCATTGCAGATGCTTAAATCCGCCTTTTAATAAATTGGTTATCAGTTAAAAAAATAAAATAAAATAAAAATAAAAAAAATTAAAAAAAAAAAGATTTTATTTTTAAGCAACCTCTACACCCAATGTGGGCTCAAATTCAGAATCCCAAGATTAAGAGCCACATGCTCTTCTGACTGAGCCAACCAGGCACCCCCAGACCTTAAGCACTTTAGGGACAGCAACTTATTCCTCTGTATATCCTCAATAACCCCAGGATTGGAAGACTGTCTGGCCCCAAAGCAATTTGGAGATCATACAAATGCAAAGCTTCTACCCAGCCTGGCATGAGTACCCATTGATGCTAACTTGGGGTTGATGCAGATGGGGCTGAAAAGAGGAGTTCGGGGTGTACAACTCTGGCAGACTGCCTTCTTTCTCTGTCTTACCCAACTGTGCCCTAGTAGCCCAGAGTCTAGTAGCCTTTTCAGCGTTCCCATCCTCTCCACATCACCTCTAAACTTCTCACATTTCTGTTCTCTTTGCCTGGAACCACCCCGCTTTCCCAACTTCCTGACCTTCCTGAATGTTCTCAGAGTGCCTTCTCTGTGTCCTCGTGAGCCTGGAAATCCTGGGAATCCCTTGTCTTTCAGTCTTACCTACCACATGGGAAAATCTCTGACTCTGAGAAGTGTTCACAAACCCTGCTAAGTGAATAGAGCCCCCCACCCTGGATCTCTGCAGCCACCTGGCCTCCAACAGAGAGCTCCATGAGTGGTGGGCATTTGCAGTAGTAGGTGTTCAATAAACCTTTGTGGAAATGGTACTGGGCCATTCCTGGGGCCTCCAGGTTATCTGACAGCTGTGGCCCCTTCTCTCTGATCTACTGTACAGACATTATCATTTGTTTCATTCTTAGGGTAAGGAAAAGAGTCAGATGTCCTCCCTCTTGAGAAACACTGCCTGGGATCTAGCATCCTGAGGGTGGGCCTGGCTACTGCCAAGCAGGCCTCCTATTCTAACTCCACCTCCCCTACCATCAGGAAAGCCTGAGTAATAAGGCATGTAAAGAAGGTGACCTTGAGGCCCAAAGACTAGGATGTATCTGAGGTGTATTTTTTGGCATTTATAGGTTTAAACTCCACTTGGGTGCAAGAGGTCTCAGGAAGGGAAGGGAGCAGGATGCTGTCATTTATAAAGTACCTGCTTCTTCCTACCCTAGGCAGTGAATATGCCTTCTCATACAGTCCTTGCATTGTTCCTGCTATCCCTAGTTATAGATTAGAAAGCAGGGGCTCAGAAGTATTGGGGGAACTTGCCTAGCTACTGGTGGATGGCATGGGTGGTACAAGAAGCATGAAGCAGCCCTATGATGGGATTCTGATTTGGTGACCTTGGACAAGTTCCCAGCTAAGCATCAATCAATTCATCTGTAAAATGGGGAAACTAATCCACAACTTCAGGGATGCGTTACATAAGACAAATAACTTCATGGTAAATTCTTGGGGGTTGTGATTATTGCTGCTGGTCCTACTGCTAGTTTGAAGGCCAAGGTCAGAGTGGTGCAGATCAGGACCAGAGATCGGGTCATTTCAGCCCTAAGTGCCTGAGCTCTCTCTTTCTCCTCTTGCCTCCTTTACTCTGGGCCACATAGTAACATGTATCATAGGTTCAAATCCAAGGCAAACAGTATTCCCAAAATACCTGTGCCAGAAGATCTAGGTTTGAATCCAGGCGACAATAGCAACCTGTATGACATGGGCAGGTAGTTTACTTTCTAAGACTTAGTTTTCTCATAGTAAAACTAGAGATGCCTTTGGCTTTCATGAGTATTACCCAGGCTCGCATGAGTGCTAAGTGAAATCCTGGTTCTGGAAGTTCTCTGATGGTCTCAGAGCTATAGGGCAACAGGAGGAGAGGTTATAAAATCAGCAAAGGAATAGAACCTAGAACTTCACTTCAAACCAAAGAGCAGCATCTCCCTCACTTCCAAAAAAAAAAAAAAAAAAAAAAAGCTATTTCTTCCATCCCCACATGGCTGAAAATTAGGGGAGGACATCATCCCTGAGGACAGGGATGATTTTTTTTGTTTGCTTGTTTGTTTGTTTTTGTATCTCTGAATCCTTAGGACCCAGCCCAAGTCCTTGTAGAAGGGGTTCAGTAATGAACATTGAATGAATGGAAGGCTTGGGTTACCATGGAAAAATCCCTGAGAGAAGTACTTTTATACTAATATGTCAATGACTACGTTTCTTCTCCTAAGATGGGAGAGAGAACGGGATGCCAGGAACCTGCAAGGAAAGCAGAAGATTAAAAAATAATGATCAGAAACCCAAAAGGGGTGTCTTGGCAGACCACAGTTTCCTAAGCTGTGCTCTGGGCTCCCGACTTAACATCCTCCCTTTCAGCAGCCAGAGCCCCTGCCCCAGCACCAGTTTCTACCAGACCACTGGCCAGTGGCCTTTGCAGATGGGGAAACTGAGGTTCAGCAGCTGAAATCCCCTAAGGTCACACAGTATGGTACTGAATTCATACTTTCTATTTAATGCCAAAAGCAGGTGGCATAGACATTTTCTGTTTGAGAAAAAACAAAACTAATCAAAGGTAATTTCTTGTAGAGTCCTCAAATTTTATTACCCAGAAAGTCTATGTTTTAAAAAAAAAAAAAAGAGTTTTGGCAATGATTACATGGTACTTGCTAAACTTTTACCGGCTTTGAGTCCTTCCCAGGGAACCAAAGGTCATTGAGAATGCCTCTCTGGACTGCCTCCCTGCCTGCCACTGGCCTCCTAGAAGCTGGGAGAGGACCCTGTGGACCAGACAAACTCTGCAG